TGAAGGGGTGAGGTGAGGGGTAGAAAGATAGATTTGTGTGTCATCAGCATAGAGATGGTACTTAAAGCCATAGGAGTTTATCAAGTGACCAAGGGAGGAGGTGTAGATGGAGAAGAGTAGGGGCCCAAGGACGGAACCTTGAGGGACCCCTACAGAAAGAGGGAGTGAAGAGGAGGAGCCAGAGTTATAAGTAACGCTGAAGGAGCGCTGTGATAGGTAAGAGGAGAACCAGGAGAGAGCAGAGTCTTGGAGGCCAAGAGAGTGGAGTTTTTTGAGGAGGAGGGGATGGTCAACCGTATCAAAAGCCGCAGAGAGGTCAAGTAGTAAGAGTATGGAATAGTGGTCATTGGTTTTAGCAGTTAGTAGATCATTAGTGAGTTTTAATAGGGCAGTTTCAGTGGAGTGTAGTGAGCGAAAGCAAGACTGTAAAGGGTCAAGAAGGTTGTTGTCAGTGAGGTAGGAGCTCAGGCGATTGTAGACTAAGCGTTCTAAGAGTTTAGAGGTAAATAGGAGCAGGGAGATGGGTCTTAAGTTGTTCAGGTTGGTGGGGTCCAGGGAGGGCTTTTTAAGTATGGGAGTGATGTGTGCATGCTTTAGAGGGGAGGGGAAGGCACCGTTAGAGAGGGAGAGATTGAAGATGTGAGTGAGGGAGCATAGGACAGAAGAGGGTGACCGTAGTAGTTGTGAGGGGACAGGATCCAGGGGGCTGGTAGTGAGACGGGCTTCTGATAAAACCTTAGTGACCTCTTCAGGAGTAGCAAGGTCAATAGAGAAAAGTGTTGAGGGAGGTTTAGTATAAGGTATGCTAAGTGGGTTGAATGTCTGTGCAGTAGTGATGCCCCTACAAATTGCATCAATCTTGCTTTTGAAATTATTTGCAATCTCGTGAGCAGTTAAAGAAAAATGTCCAGTGTTCACATGGGTTCATTTGTGTCAATGCTTCTTCTTTAAAGAAAAACTCTTTAGTGGAAAAAAAATAGCATATAAAATTAATTAATTAAATTAGGAGTGGGTTCCAGTGTACTGATTCTCTTATGTTCTCTTGCAAAAGGATTCCTTAAAAGTGTTGAGTCCACATGTGAGTTGTAATCAGAATCTTTGCCTGTTGTGAACCCCTATATGGAGAGCAATTTTTTAATGTTGTGTGAAAGATTTTTAGTGGTACATAATAAAGTTGTTTTACGGTAGTCAGCTTTTCTTCTATATGTCCACACAAATTCCATGACTACGTATTTTGTTCATAGTTATACTGTTGTTACACATCCTGTGGCTAAATGGTTAGCACGTCCGCCTGGCACTACTAGGGTCATTGGTTCAAATCCCAGCCATGGCACTACCTGCCTGGAGTTTGCATGTTCTCCCTGTGCCTGCTTGGGGATACTCCAGTTTCCTCCCACCCTCCAAAGACATTCTGGTAGGTTAATTGGTTCCTGTCTAAATTGGCCCTAGTATGTGTATGTATGAATGGGAATTAGGGACCTTAGATTGTACACCCCTTGATGGTTAGGGACTGATGTGAATGAACAATATATATATGTAAATTGATAGCACTATAAATAATTTCCAAGGGTCCCTCCAGCTAGTCCTCCCAAGCACCCTCAGCCCCTGCTTCTGCTGCACACCCAAAGGGGTTGGGGCTGAGTATGAATTATGTAATCTGGCTTGAATTAGAAGAAGAACAGTTTTCACACTATTCTAGATCATGTCAAAGAGTGGCCATGTACTGGCTCAAGTTTTTGTACAAAAACAGAATTATTGTTTAATCTAGTAGTTGTTTACATAACTGTAGCACCTGCAAAGTTCCTTGTAATAATAATCCTTTCTGTTGCTACATTAAAGCCAAGAAATTCTGTAAAAGTGAAAAAAAAATGCAGAAGCAAATTATGTGATGCCAGAATGTGGCGTTGCTGACGCTGTCTGTGAGAATTGCACTGCTCAGTAACGCCACATACAGCATAAAGGCATCTACCAAGCGTGCAATTGAGGGATTGTGTTTTTCCATTGTTGTCCTAGACATCACATAAAAAGAAGGACATGCCTTGCTCACTGGTAATTTTTTAAACCGTTTTTGCATTGGTACATGTTTTGAAATGCAGTGTCCAGCTCCCTATACCCCTTGTTTGACAATCAATTCCCTATTAACCTTGAAAATGGTCAGAATTGATTTTTCAAGATTCATTACCTGTAAACTTCAATGGAGTTTGGATTAAAGTTTCAATTTTTGAGATTTATGAACTAACCCAAGCGCATCCCTATTAACAGGCAAAATATTGTGGGAAACAGCATGAGCATTGTTAACCCAAAATGCAAAGTGCATTGAATTGCATTTATTTACCAACACCTTAGTTATTTTTTCTATTAATTTGGTATTTTCCCATTTTTATAGCATACTTTTTAGCTTGGAGTGATTAGAGTCCAGGCAAAAAGAGTAAAAATATTTTCCCCAAAAACATGGCAAAACCTCACCCAAGATGCATTGGTACCTCTTGCTGTATTCCCATATACTGTACCTAGTTTTTCACAAATATCAGAGCCATAGCTTTTAAGCATGGTTTGGTATAATTGGCCAGCAGCAAGACAGTACATGAATGTGACCAGGTAGAATAGGTTAAAATGTTAAAACACAAACAAGGCAGGTATCTTGCTACACTATAAATGCAAGTGTATTATCGCAGGGACACCTAAGAAAGAAATGATCAGCAACAAGGCAATTTGGGAATGAACTGAAGAGGGAAGAGAGCTTAGACACAAGACAGCTGTTTTGTTACTCTGTGTGAGAAGTTCAGAGAGCAGATTGCCAGAAAAAGTGGTAAAAATGGCATGAATGTGACCAGGTAGAATAGGTTAAAATGTGAAAACACAAACAAGGCAGGTATCTTGATACACTAGAAATTCAAGTGTATTATCGCAGGGACACCTAAGAAAAAATATCAGCAACAGGGCAATTTGGGAGTGAATTGAAGAGGGAAGAAAGCTTAGATACAAGACAGCTATTTTGTTACTCTGTGTGAGAAGTGCAGAGAGCAGATTGCCAGAAAAAGTGGTAAAAATGGCATAAAGGAAAACTTTAAAGTTTGTTTAGAATGTTTTATGCTGTTATTTACTAAAGTTTAAAACCTTGGCTTTATAAATCAGAACAGATTTATTAGAAAAATCTCCTTTCTGGAGTGTTGGCAGCCATCATTTGCCTAAAATTAGCTTTATATTCTTTGAGTAACTGCAGATGTTTGCACAGAAGAAATGTTCAATATATCAGCTGGTATTATTCTTCGGATAACAGAATCATCTGTTATTCACTCTGGAAATCCTTGGTGGTTTTTATTTATGCAAAAGAAGACACTGACCTGCAGCAAACTACTTATTTGAAAAACCTAAGATTTCAGGGATTCAAATAGGATTCATATTTTAACACTGTCAAATGCAATTCTTGTTCTCAGTTTTGCTACACTCCACATTTTAACTTGATAAAGAAAAATAATTAATATATATTTTATTAACTGTTAAATTACAATATTAAATGCTCATATGTTAATGCTAATATAATAACAGGTACATTTGCTACTATGACTTTGCAGAAGATGTTATTAGGAAAAGGTCCTCGGAATGTGCAGGTCTTATTGTACAGCATATTGTAATATGTACAGCAAGGCATTTAAGATACAACAAATATTAACAAAGAAAAAGGATTTTTAATGGTATCAACATATAATTCAATAACAAAATATTCTTAAAAAAATGATCCAGTACTTACTGACCTCTTACCTGATAGGCCAGAAATAGCCTTTCATAGAGCTTACTCTCTGAGAAATAAAATAGCACCCCAATACCATAGACCCACCTAACAATACATCCTTTTTTCTCTGATATGAAGGGTTTCTTTCCATGCAATAAATGTGTCATCTGTAAATGTGATGGTACGCGGAAGAGATTTTATTGAATAACAACATATAAAAACAAACACCGTAAATATGGTATTATTAAAATCATCACGTAAATACAATTGAAGTCAAGATGACTCTGAACATTGTTGCAGCAGCTTCTAATCAACATGTTTCACAAAAATCTGCCTTCTTCAGGAGTTTTATGAGCACTGCACATGGTGTCACTATTAGATAAAATATATATAAGCAAATGCATTACGCCATATATCAAATATCACTTTCATCAATAAATAAGCATTAACAAGCATTTAATAAAGCAATATACAGTAATGAATTCCTTAAAGGGTGTCATACCTAGGGGTTCAAAAGAATCACGCTGTGGGTCTTAACATATTTGAAAGACCTCCGTAGAAATACAGGGGGGCCAATATAGGGTGATATCACTGGCCATACGGAGGACAGGATATCCCAAATTACTTCCTGAAAACATAAGTAATGTTCTAATTGTAGATCATGTAATACAGCATGTGTATCACAGTAATAATGGACCAAACCACGCCCCTCATTATTGAGTGAACATTACCTTTTGGGGATGAAAATGATAGTGATCCCCCACAAATCATCAGACACTGTGTCAACCAGTTGATATATTCAAAAATGGATTTTCCTTAACCACTTGCCTATCAGGCACTTTTACACCCTTCCTGCCCAGGCCAATGTTCAGCTTTCAGCACTGTGGCACTTTGAATGACAATTGCGCGGTCATGCAACCCAATCAAAATTTATTTCATTTTTTTTAGACAGATAGAGCTTTTGTTTGGTGGTATTTAATGACCACTGGGTTTTTATTTTTTACTAAACAAACTAAAAAAGGCTGAAAATTTTGGGAAAAAAAGTTTTTACCTAGTTTCTGTTATAACATTTTGTAAATAAGTAATTTTTCTCCTTCACTGATGTGCGCTAATGAGGCTGCAGTGATGGGCACTGATAAGCTGCAATGATAGGCACTGATAGGTGACACCGATGAGGAGGCACTGGTAGGTGGCACTTATGGGCATTGACAGGCATCACTTGTGGGCATTGACAGGCATCACTGATGGACACTGGAAGGCAGCACTCATATATGGCATTGATAGGCAGCACTGATGGGCACTGATAGGCGGCACTGACTGGCACTGATAGGTGGCACTGATAGGTGGCACTGACTGGCACAGATAGGTGACACTGACTGGCACTGATAGTTGGCACTGAAAGAAAGCTCTGATGGGCACTGATATGTGGCATTGATGTGCACTGATAGGCACTGGTATGTGGCATTGATGGGCACTGACAGGTGGCACTGATGGGGCTACACTGATCATCAGGGCATTGATCATCAGTGCCCTAATTATCAGTGCAGATGTACCCTCTGAGGAATGCCGCTTACTGGCTCTCCTCTTCTCACAGCTGTCAGCACGAGGAGAGGACTGCTGATAACCATTTCCTTGTTTACATGTGATCAGCTGTGATTGGATACAGCTGATCACATGAGAGTCTGTGTCATTGGCTCTTTACTGTGATCCCTGCGTCCCAGGGACACCACGCAGCACTGATTGTAATGCTGCACGCCCCCGGGGGCATGCATGTGCAATTAGAGTGGGAGAACTGCCGCCCATCCGTCATTTCCTTATATGGTGGGTGGGAGGTGATTAAAGGAGCATTCCCCTTCATCTACTCCAAGGCACTAAAGAGACAAAGAACACACTCACTAAATTAATGGAAAAAGAAAAAAAAAGGGGGACTCAGCATTTAGTGGGAATATGGCATAATGGAATAATGTTCCATCTTCCCAACAGTCATTACCATTCACAGTATCTTACTAGCCAAAAGAAGAAAAAACAAGGTCGCCTGTGATCTCAAATTGCCTCAAAGAAGATATGCCGCAGTAACAACAAATATGGTGGCAGGGCCCTTATATATCCCTCCCACCTTGCCAGCATCTGACATAACCAGAGAGGTGTGGACACTACTGGCATCAGTGAGCATGTGTGACCGTCTCTCGGATGTCATGGCGCATGCAGGGTTGTGCACTACTGTTATACACATGTGTAGATAGCCACCTGCGCCATCTTGGAAGATCTAGCCTGTCAGCCCACCAGAGCTATAAAGGAGCAGCCAATCCCACACCAGCAGGATGACCTGTGGGATCACCCCAAAACAAGAGCCTAATGGAGGGGGCCTAGAAGGGATGGTGAACCAAACTCAGACACCACTGGGTGGACAGGGCTCAAAAAATCCCTCCCTGGGAGGGATGCCCTTGGCATCCATATGGCCACCAATCAAACCCCCGTGGTCACCCCAATACAGCCACGAAGTTCTATTTACCAATCAAAACGTTCAGTTAATTTCAGATACATCACAACCCGAAACCATTAATGAGAAAAAAGAAAAAGAACAGTTCCCAAGCATAATTCCCAACTCTGCATAAAGGCAATTAAATAATGTCACCATGAACACCTCTGTTAGTTCACAAAAACAGACGACACCCCATAAAGAAATCATAAACAATAAATTAAAACTGATATCATACATCAAAAGTTATTGCACATAACTTTGATATACCATTCAGTTAGCCTCATTACTTCTAGCATAGCTCTCCCAAGCAGAACCAGACCATCACATCTGCTTGAAACTTAAAGTATCATTTAGCTCAGGAGATCTTGTAACTGCTAAATTATGAATCCAATGAGTTTCTCACTGTAACAGCAGCTTGTCTATATCCCCACCTGTCTCATATTGGGGTATGTGTTCTAGGTCAAAAAATGCATTTTGGTTGAATCAAAAGCATTGTAGAGGCTCATATGCCGACTTATTGGAGTCTCCAGTTTTTTTTTAGAAACCAGAGAAACACGGTCCCTGATTCTTTGAAAAAATGCTTTCTTTCTCCATGATGTGGCAAATTTGTGTCTGTTTTTCTGAATATCTTGTAATAAGTCTGACTGTTTGTTGGTCGGGATTGTTTTTTTGGGTATGAATCAGAGTATATCTATTCTGATCTTTGGCTCTCTGATACGCCTTTTTGAGACAGGTCTTGCTATAGCCTCTGGCAGCAAGTTGTGTTTGTAGGGCCTTAGTCTCTATTTCAAAAATCCTCCATTCCCATTCTACTACAACTTCTTTTAGATATTGACTGTATGGAATACTTGACACCAAAGGTGCTGGGTGGGAGCTAGTAACGTGCAGAGCAGTGTTCCCAGAGGAAGGCGACGAAGATCTATAAGTCCAAAAAGCTAATGGATTGTTGGTGACAATTCATCGTAAATTTCAAGTTAGAACTGTTACACTTTAATGTCTCAAGAAAATTGTGCAACTTCTCTACAGAGCCAGTTCAAATCATGAACACGCCATCGATAAATCTACGCCAGATTGGTACATTACTCAATATCTCCTGTAAGCCCTCTCTAAAGAAGAGGTTGCACTCCCTCCCCCCCCCAGGTACAGAATGGTGTACGACAAGGCACACTTGGTCCCCATTGCAACACCCTGCACCTGGAGGTAGTGGGAGCACTCAAATATAAATATATTATTGGTCAGAATAAACTGAAATAAGTCCAGGATGAACTGGTTATAAGGCCCAGACAGAACCCCTCATTCAGAAATCTACAATTAGAATATTTTTTTCAATATAAACCAGCGCAAAACACAAACTCCCTCACAACAATAAGTGAGCAATAATGAATAATAACCATTACATTTTGGTATAAGTGTCACACAAAAAATTAATTAATTATTAAAATAAATTTAAAGTCCAGTGTTACATAAAATATTAAAAAAATTAAAAAAAAATCAAGTGACCCATACAAAAAGAAAAAAAGAAAAAAATCAGTGACACATAAAAAAGAAGTGACACATAAAAAAGAAAAGTCCAGTGCCCCAAAGAAACTTTTGATTGAGAATCTTCAATGCTTATAGTGATCCTTCCACCATCCACCAGTGCAAAAACCAACATGAACCACACTCACCAGATAATAGTGAGTATAACGCCTTTCAGGATTATTTAGGGCTCCTTGACCCCCTTTAAGACCTCCACTATTTTCCACCTCAGAGATATGGATATTCCTCCACTTGTTCCCCTCGCCAACTCCACCAAGTTCCAGGAAGGAAAAAGGACTAATAGTGTGATACTGTTATACCTCTTACTTAAAATTTACTTTAAGCCAGACCACTCACATTTTAAAAGATAATAACCAGCATTTATTGTAGATAAAAAATGAAATTCCACAGATATTATAGCAGGACCTCACAGCCTTGTTCACAAGAGGATGACAGACTCCAAAGAAAAAACTTCCTCCACTAAGCAAAATGGCCACTTGGAACGCACCGCTCGGCGTGTGTTCCACTCACCAGAAAGGACGTAGGATGTTGGGACGACCAGCTGGCAGTACGTCAACGCATTTTGCCCCTACCCCAAAATTCTAAAAAATTCCAAAAACTCCAAAAATTCTAGCTAACAGACTGGCCAAATGTATCTTCAAGCTTATACACAAAGACCAGTTGGGCTTTGTCCTGGCTACACATGCCACAGTAACACCAGGAGGACCATTGACCTGATTGAACTTGTCAATAAGTCCCCAACTCCTACTCTCTTATTGAGCTTGGACGTCCAAAAAGCGTTTGACCAGATTAAGTTGGCCATACATGTTTCTAGTCCTGGAGAGATTTGGGTTTAGTGGTCCATTTGTAGCTGCTTTACCAGTCCTTTACTCCATTCCCTCTTCCCAGGTCAAATTAGCATCGTTCTTATCCCCTTCTTTTCGGATGTCCAATGGTACACGCCAGGGACACCCGCTTTCCCCTTTGTTGTTTATCCTCTGTTTGGAACCCCTGGCTATAGCTATCAGATCCAATCCAAATCTCCATGGGATATGCACCCTCTGTAGTGACTTTAAACTGTCTTTGTTCACTGATGATATCTTGCTGACACTGACGAAGCCCCACATTACTCTGTCGGTCTTACATCGTACTCTACAACTTTTTGGTGCCCTGTCTCTGACTTTGTTTTGGGATTTGTTACTGCCTCAATGCGGCGTGGCATGAAAGCTATCAGCCTGTGGCACTGCTGAGGTGGTATGGAAGACCAGGATGCTTCAATAGCGGCCTTCAGCTCTTCTGCATTGTTTGGTCTCATGTCTCTCATCTTTCTCTTGGCAACGCCCCATAGATTCTCTATGGGATTCAGGTCAGACGAGTTTGCTGGCCAATCAAGCACAGTAATCCCACGGTCATTGAACCAGGTTTTGGTGCTTTTGGCAGTGTGGGCAGGTGCCAAGTCCTGCTGGAAAATGAAGTCAGCATCCCCATAAAGCTTGTCTGCGGAAGGAAGCATGAAGTGCTCCAAAATCTCCTGGTAGACGACTGCGTTGACCCTGGAGTTAATGAAGCACAGTGGACCAACACCAGCAGATGACATGGCTCCGCCATATCAACACAGACTGTGGAAACTTCACACTGGACTTCATGCATCTTGCAGTGTGTGCCTCTCCATTATTCCTCCATACTGGGGGTCCTTGGTTTCCAAATGAGATGCAAAAGTTGCTCTCATCAGAAAAGTGGACTTTGGACCACTGAGCAACAGACCAGGTCTGTTTTTCTTTAGCCCAGGTAAGACGCTTCTGACATTGTTGTTCAGGAGTGGCTTGACAAGAGGAATACAACATTTGAAGCCCATGTCCAGGATCCGTCTATGTGTGGTGGCTCTTGATGCATTGACTCCAGCCTCAGTCCACTCCTTGTGAAAGTCCCCAACACTTTTGAATGGTCTTTTTCTGACAATCCTCTCCAGGCTGCGGTCATCTCTGCTGCTTGTGCACCTTTTTCTTCCACACATTTCCCTTCCACATAGCTTTCTATTGATGTGCTTTGATACAGCACTTTGGGAACATCCAGCTTCTTTTGCAATTACCTTTTGAGGCTTTCTCTCCTTATGGAGGGTGTCAATGATGGTTTTCTGCACAACTGTCAGGTCAGCAGTCTTTCCCATGATTGTGATTCCTACTGATCCAGACTAATGCAGGCCATAGATGGGTCGAAAATCGGCCGATTTTTCGGCCGGTTTACGGATCGTTAGTGGGCTATTTGTTCGGCCGTTTTTCGGTATTTTGCCAGATTTTTTTTATTGGTAAAGTTGGAAAAAAAATCGGCCGATTTTGCCGATCGGCCGATTTTCGCGGCAATGATGGGCAAATCGGCCGATTTTTTACCGATAAAAAATCTGCGCATGAGCAGTAACCTGCAAGAGGAAGACAAAAAGAAGAAAAAGAAGAAGAGGAAGAGGAAGAAGAAGAGGATGAAGAAGAAGATGAGGATGATGAAGAAGAAGGAGAAGAAGAGGATGATGATGATGAAGAAGAAGAAGAAGAGGATGAAGAAGAAGAAGAAGAGGATGATGATGAAGAAGAAGAAGAAGAGAGAGGATGATGATGAAGAGGAAGAAGAAGAAGAAGAGGATGATGATGA